GCGGGCTATAAATGGTCGCCCGATGGACCATGGGCAAGGGCTCAACGGGCCGGCACGGCCCGATATTCGCCCACGGACGCGTGCAGGGCGAATCAACAGCACGGTGGACTGTTCAGCACGGGCCGTGGCCAAGGGGCCAAAAGGGCCCGAGCCCGATCGGGCCGTGCTCGCCCGGCTCGGGCCGTGCCGTGCCGTGCCGGCCCGTTGCTCATCTTTAGTGCAGACGACTTTGACATCAGATGACGCGGCGCTGGCCTCTATATATGTGCTTGCGTTCTAGCCGGAGGCCTCGCCGAGGACAACGGCCGTGTGGTGTTGCTGCAGGGCGGCTCGGCGTGTCCAAGGCCCTTCCTTGGCGTTGCTCCGGGACGGGAGAGAGAACACAGATGATTCCTGCATTTGCTCAATCCAAAAAAAAAAAACTTGCGTTCCTGCTGGTTAGCTTAGCACAGAGGAGTAATCTCTCATGCGGAGGTCGAGACTTAGTACATGTTTGTTAAGAAAACCGTCGAAGGCTTAAAATTTAACAGCAAAGAAAACTCATAGATGTGTGCGTGTGTCCAGTTGCTGTTAGCGCACGAAGGAGGTGTTGTGAACTCACCTTGGTGCAATTTTGTGAAAAAAAAGAACCGATAACTTATCTCGGCTTTCGTGCGAAGCTTAGTTAGATGGCGGTGGTAACTTGCAACAGGCAGAGCCTTCGCGGGCGCCAGGTGGTCGCGGTACACATTGTGCATTGGGCACTCAGTCACGGGAGTTCTGCATGGCTTGCTGGCCAGTGTGTTCGATGTCGGAGGTCGGAGGCCCTGCATTTGCTCAACCAAAAGACTTGTGCACCTGACGGTTACTGTAGCTCCGGAGCTGACGCCAGAGCAATACTTGAGCTTTGGACGTTGCTTGTTGGAGCTTTTCCTAGGAAGCTTGCCTACAACAATTCTGCTGCTTTGCTATCATAGACAAAGGTTAGTGAATCATTGCATATTTTAATGCATCTAGGTGCAACATGACTGTAAGCAGAGTAGGTGTGTGCAGAGTAACGGCGAAACAATAATTACTTGGACGGCCAGATCGGGGTATGTATTCGTGACTTATCTGAACTGCAGTAGGCTGAAGCCTTTGTGCGAGGGCTGTACACCACGAGGCTGTCGAAGGCTATCAGATGGAGGCCGAAGGCTTGGTGCGAAGGCTCGACATCCGGAGGTCTTTCGGGGATTTTTTAAGTTGGCGACCGAACAAATTTCCAACTCTCAACTCAGAGAAAAGTTTTTGATGGTTCCAACTCGTAACTCTTGAAATATTTCGTGCCCCACGGTGGGCGTCACTGTTGAAACATCGGTTTCCAACAAGAGTGAGAAGTGGGCGGAGACCTTCGTCTTAGGTTGGGGTCTCCGCCTAAGATGGGCGGAGGTCTGCCTCCGCCTAAGACGGGCGGAGGCCCCCGAACGCACGCATGTCGGACAAGATCCCTCGACGGAGGCTCCAGGTAAATCGTTGCTAGACGAGGGACTTGGAAGGGTTTTGCTAAGTGGGAGTAAGAGAAAAGGGCGGAGGCCTTCGGCTTTGGCCGAGGCTCCAGTCTCTGGCTTTGGCTCAGGCTTGCCTGAAGAAGAGAGTGAGGATCAAGTACCGACTCATAAGAACTAGGGTTTCATAATTGCTTCACCAACCTCCCTCTCACAGTTACAAGTGTTCCCTATTTATAGGGCTCAACTACCACTTTACAGAGTTTACAACAGTGCCCCTCAACTGCTACGGTACATTCCAGGTATATTCCAGCCCTAGTGTCTAACCTCAGGGGTGTTCCCATCACACCATCTCGCGATGTCTTCATCTTGGGCCTAAGCCGACGCCCACCAGAGGCCCATCAACTGTCCTCACGTATGCCTTGCTGACCTGATCGTTCCTTGATGGGCCTCCGCCGCCTTGGGGAACACCTTCGCCATGATTACTGTGCATGGCCTCCGCTGTCCCGGGGAGAGCCTCCACCGTCCCGGGGAGAAACTCCACTGTCATTCTTGTACTAGGCCTCCGCCGTCTCGGGAAGAGCCTCCGCTGGCTAGGCCTCGCCGTCTTGGGGAGAGCCTCCACCGGCTAGGCCTCCGCCGTCTTGGGGAGAGCCTCCGCTGGCTGGGCCTCGCCGTCTTGGGGAGAGCCTCCGTCGGCTAGGCCTCCGCCGTCTTGGGGTAGGCCTCCGCCGTCTTGGGGAGAGCCTCCGTCGGCTGGGCCTCCACCGTCTTGGGGAGAGCCTCCACCGGCTGGGCCTCCGCCGTCTTGGGGAGAGCCTCCGCTTCATCAGGCCTCTTCGAGGGGGAGTTGACCCATACTCCGTATGGGCTCCCCCAACAGCCCTTGTTTAGTTGCCTGATTTTGGACAACCAAAATCACTGTGCCAGCACTATATCACATTGTAGCGTTTCGTTTGTATTTGTGAATTATTGTCCAATCGTTGACTAATTAGGCTCAAAACGTTCGTCTCGCAAAGTACTACCAAACTGTGCAATTAGTTTTTGATTTCGTCAACATTTAGTACTCCATGCATGTACCGTAAGTTTGATGTGACGGGAAATCTTCTTTTTACATAGTGCCAAAGTTTGGATTTTGGTGGAAACTAAACGCCCCCTTCAGGGTTTGTCACCTTTTCCCCCTTCATTTTTACAGCGTCAGACTCCAGATCGTCCGACATACAAGAGATTCTTCTAAAGATCTAATTAATGCTTTTTTCCATTATCTTTGTTTTTGTAAGAGCTACATGTTTTGGAATTCAAGCTAAGTACATATTAGAGAGCAGGGATATATGGCCCTACTTAGGTTCAACCGATGAAGGTAGAACCTTCACCCTGGCAGTGGTGGATCCAGAAACGAGGCAATAGGGGAGCTGCGCATTATGACATATAGGGTGGGCCTGAACCTTCTAGCCAGAGTTTTCGGGCACGTTTGGATCTCTTGTCTCACCTTGCTAGGCTAGAAGTTAGAACAGTAACGTTGTTTGGATCTCTTACCCAGCCGCCTCGTTATCCGTGCAAGCAAGAATTTCCTTGCTACACTGGGCCAGCAGGTTTGGCTCACCTGCACTGGCAAGGTTCGCCTTGCTGGGCGAAGCTACGCAAGGAAACCTGGCGAGACAACCAAACTTGCCCTTCGTGAACTATTGAGGCATCTGATGGTCGAGGGGCTGAGGAAGGCAAGTATCGATAGTGATAGATTATGAGAACCTTACCTTAAATATTCGTTTTCCGTACGTAGTTAACAATAATCTTCTACTGCCCTTTTTCCGAGGATTGTTGGGGACTGTTTAATTTTCAATATGCAGATCAACTCACAATTCCTGAAATATTTCAAGAATGGCAAATCCTTCACAATGCTAGCTTCTCACTTGACATCTTCATACTGGTCTGTTGGGCTATATGGGTGATGAGAAATGATATTATCTTCAGAAACAAAAACCCCACAGTTGCTGATTGCAAAAGGACTATCACGGTGGAATCACTCTTGCTGTTGCATAGAACAAAGGCTACAATCACCCCCAACTTAGAAGCATGGATCAACTCCAATTTGTAATTCTCTTAATTTTCTTTCTCTCCTTCTGTGTTCCCTGAAATCTCTCTCCGGTGTGAGTGAGAATGGGAGTGTTTTGCTCGCTGTTCCCCTGTTTTTCCCTGTAATCTTTGACACTTTGCTTTCTCTTTTATTTTCAATAAATTTGCAGTAGGAGCCTCTGGCTCCTTCTGATTCCTCAAAAAAATAATCTAGAAGTTTTTTAAAATAAAATGCACACAGTAAAGGAGACACATAAAAAGCTCATAATAAAAAATAATAAACTTATATAAAAGAGAAAAGGGGGAATTTTCACATGAACTCATGGGCCGTGCGTGCTAGAAGTGGACGGTGGGTTGTGTCTGAGCCGATAAACTTCCTTCCAATTTCTTTCCTTCTTCCAAATTGCATTCCATTCTGGCCCACTACTTATGGGCCTCGTGAGCTTACCGGTCAATGGGTACACAAAAATCTGCAGAACAAGTCCATTTGGAGGCAGGAACTAATCCAGCTAATCAAGATTATATAAATTATTGAAGCATTCTAACTTGGAATCATTTCAGGCACTCAATCCAGAGAAACCGAACAAGCCCTAAAACCGGATTTTTAGAGTTTTGAACCCGTCTGATTTAGCTCTCTAAACAGTTTTGGAAACGATTTTAGGTGATGCAACCACGAGCAAGGTAAACTAGACCTTTACGGTAGTTTAGGAGGTCAATTAGACTTTACAAATTTAATTTGAAAATAATTTTTCAAAAGTATCCAAATATTTTCAAGAATAAATATCCGTTTAAAAATACTAAAACCTTATTTAATATTAAAGAATTCACTCAAGGGCCGTGCCTGCTAGGGGTGCACGGCGGGCTGTGTCTGGGCCGATAAACTTTGTTCCCATTTCTTTTCTTCTTTCAACTCTCACTCCCTTCCAGCCCACTATTTATCGGCCTCGTGGCTTACCAATCAATCGTTAATCTGTACGGATGAATTGTCCTGGGCTCCTTCTAAAAAAAAAGAAAAGAAGATTAATCTGCTGGGCTCGTGTTGACCGTTCAAAGCCGCAGATGCCAGCCGAACGGACCTGGAAAATCAGAACCCCAAATGCTTTATCACCGGCCGTCCATCGCACTTTCCATCTTGTGCTGCGTCCGACACGTGCACCTGCCGTCCACCTGCTCTGTTGACCACTGTTTCTTCCACCTTCTCGTCTACACGCTCGCGACTTCTCTCCAATATATCTCGCGACTCTCAGCAGGCTGTGGCCACGGCTTCCGGTTCCTCTGCTATGCGCTCCTCCGCTTCCTCTATTGCATCTGCAGCCGCTGTCTTCCTCGACCTTGGCTTCAACTCCTCTTCCTTGGCATGATGCTTCTTGCCTTGCTGCAGGTGCGGAGGAGTCGGCCGGCGGCGCCGCTCTCTGGTTGTGCACATATATCAGATCCGGTGCCCATCCTTCGAATGCCGTTACCATGGCCATGGGCCAAGTCAGATCTTGTGGTGAACACTGTCGCCCTGAGATGCGAGATGGTACGCCTTCACTTCCTCGTGATTTCTCTCTCATGTTGCCCTGAGCAATAGGCTCTGTTTAATGTCATCGTGTGTACGTTTATGTCCCCGCAGTAGGCTCATACTTCACAACTGATTTGTGATTTCTATACAATTCTACTCATACATGTGTAATAAGCGGACATGTTTGTACTTCTGTCAACATATAAAGTTCAAAAGTGCACAGAACATTCGCCACTTCCTAGTGCATTCTCGCAGATTTATGAAACCCTGATTCGGTGTGGGCCACACTTTCATCGCCTCATACTAGACCTGGCCTTCGGCGCCGGCCGGAGGTCATTCCACTTATTTCCCCCTGCTGGGATTAGCTAACCCAACAGAGGAGACGTGGTGGAGAAACAGAAAGGAAAGAGGTAGATCCATGGCACACAGATACGAGCATGTAGATAGAGGGGATACAAGAACACAACTAAAGATCCAGAGGCAGTGTTCACCGTGCTTTGGTCGAGGTTAGCGCCTATAGCTCTCATCGTCGACGACAGTCGCGGGCGGCAGCATTTGGCCGGAGCGCAGGAAGAAGGCGGAGAGGATATGGATGGAGAGATGTGGAAGGAGAAAGTTGGGAGGGAATGAATTCAGATGAGCAGGGCGCGGTGAAAATGAGCGAAAGTTGGGAGGGAGTGAATTTATGGGTGGGACGCGGTGAAAATGAGCTGCTGTGGAAGGTAGTATATCGCACGACGTGTGCAAGCTGCCGAAAATGTCCATTGACTTGCACGAATCACGGGGCAGCGACTGCCGCACGATAAGGACCGGCGCGCCAGGCCGTTGCGGAAATTTCACCTTGCCTGAATCGCTTCAGTGCGGCGAGACCCAGGGAACTGCTTGCCCGGTGGCTGCTCGCCGGGCGGCGAGACAGCGAGGTCCGTTCAAGGTAGAGCGATTGAAGCGATTCAGGACAAGCAGTTCCCAGGGTCTCGCCGCACTGAAGCGATTCAGGACGTGCTAGCTCGCCAGTCAGGCAGCCACGACGAGGTCCCCGCGATGGGATCCGGTCATTGCCGGAACCACGGAAAGGCGGTAGAGCGGAGGACCGGAGTGCCCGGCCCGTGGTGGGCCCCTCTAAGAGCGTGTTCGGTTGGTTGGCTGCTTTTTTTTCTTCGGTCGGAGCAGTCTCATGAAATTTCAACAGTGTTTTCAGCATAAACAGTGTCGGATTTGTCCCAGCCGAACACTCCCTAACGCTCTGACTCTGCGAGACTGTGACCAAGTTGTTCGTGGAAATGCCGGGAAGCGTCCCGTCTCTTCTCCGTCGGCGTCGGTGTCGGCACGGCACCTGGTGGGTTGAGCGGGACGTGTCAGCCAGCTTTCAGGCGTTGACTCCTCTAGCCGTCGCCGCGGAGCTCGCTCTCCACGCGGAAATCGAGAAATGGGATATTTTCTGTCATGGCGTTCCGCTGTCTGGTGCAAACCCAACTCTCTGATCCTGAAGATTTTGTGGGGTTTTCGGGCGGTGTTCATCACAATCATCCGTGTGCGTGCAGGGCGAACACAAGGCGTTCGTGGAAATGCCACGCAGCCTTGGTTCAGAAAGGACAGTTCACGAGGAAGGATCAAGGGCTAAAAACCGTCCAATATGTAAGAGGATCAAAGACAAGGTCTCTCAGGTATCAAACATCCGAATTGCATTGCATGTAAGATATTCAGGTAATTGCACCCTCATTGATGAGTCAAAACACACTCAATTTCGAATGCAGTATCACTCACACTCCCACCACGGATCTATCCATGGTTTATATACTAGTTCCAAAAGGGTCACTGTAGTAGTATGGAAGTTGGAAATCTTGACCATGTGGGACCCCTTGTCGAGAACTGCTGCTACGCGTATGACGACCACTCTACTTACCTTTGTCTTTCACAGGACTAGTCCACCATTAGACCATGGTTGTTACCATCTACCTTGCTTCCTCAGAGCTTCTTTCATCCACCTAGTTGGCCAGAGCTTGTTTGCAAAAGATTGTTCTTGTTCTATTTGGATGATAACTCTGTAGCAGAAGCAGTCCAATTTCATCACTTGTACTGCAAGCAACCAGTAAAGCAGAGAGAAAATGGACATCGCGAAGCTTGCAGGGGCTGATGCTGTCAAGCTTGTCGTGATGATTGTGCAGGCAGCTCAGACTGTTCGCCATAACAAGAAGACCTGCCAGCAGCTAGTCCACCATGTGCAGATAATCGGTGACCTCCTGAAAAAGCTGCAGACTCCGGAGATGATGCAACATCCAGAGACTAGGAACGGTCTTAATGAGCTTGAGGAGATTCTTCGTGAGGCATACATGCTTGTCACATCCTGCCAAAACAACAACTACATATACCACCTGTTCACAGGCAAGAAGCAGGCAGATCAGTTCCGCATTCTGCAGAATAGGATGAACTCGTGTCTCCAAATTTTCCCACTCATCAGTCACATTGACACCACAGGCCGCCTGGACAAAATTCTTGAAATCATACGGCCTCCATGCTCACAGGTATGGTAATTGGTAAGATAAAAAGTAATTTGTTATAATTGCATCAATCATAAGTAGTTAGAAATAGTCTGGTTCATTTGTTCCATGAAGGTCTTGTGTTGAAAATAAATATGGAGCACCTCTAAATTGGTATGGGTTAATAAGAAATAAGAATTGTAAACTGGTCGTGTGCAAGCTTGGTGACAATGAAAGCTTCTTTAAGTTGTTTTTCTCCAAAAATATGCTTGAGACATTGTTGAAACTTGAATCTTGTGAACCTAATTGGCTCCGTGATTCCTGTTCACCCCAAAAAAACTGATGGTCTTCGTTATTTCTAGATAATAGTGAATATGAGAAACAAAATGCACTTGGGGGAATACAAATTTGTATAAATATGGCATGACCACATTTACATGGTATTCTTTCTCATATTTGTAGACTTCCTATGAAGCATCATGCAGTAGTATAGTAGGATTCAAATTATCCATGTCACATATTAATTTATTTTAAGAAACGTCTTCTTTCCAGATTCTTGGTCCTCAGACACCTATTTTATTATTTCAGGTTGTAAGAGATGTGCCAAGACTGCTTCCAGGTTGCTCATCTTGTGACACCAGGTTAGAATGTGCAATTATTTTAGTGTACCCATACTTTTTTGGCTGGCTTGAACCTGACCTGAGCCTGATGTCAGGTAAAAAAAAAAGAGAGATTTGAGTTTCATTTCAATTTTTAGACAATAATGTCAATCTATTTGTATATTCTAAAAATACATAATGGATAAGTTCCATAAATGTTAACAACATATTTCCCTGCCTAATTTTTGTTGCACATTCTGGAGACTTCACTAAATAACCCCATTAGTTGGCTTGACATTTGAGCTCCCTTGTGTTTTCATCATTCATAGTTCAATAACTAACATTTAGTAACCTGTGGTTTTGCTAATAGTTTGCATCTGGGATTTCTTGTATTGGCATTTTTCTCAATGAGATGTGGGATTCCTTGAATTGGCAGCGGTTATGGTACTTTGCATCCTCAATTATATTGAGAGTCTTGAGATTCTTTAGTTATTTGGTTATGTTCTTGCACACTACCAGAAGAATCAAGTCTGTCTACATGGTTTTGTTAAGCGGTTTTCTACTTTAGAGAGAGAGAGTTTCGTGAAAAGTCCTGTACACAATCTTGAATTTTGAACCTTTTTTATACTGATATGTAAGATGCAAGGATAACATTTTTTTCTTCTTCCTTAGATAGCACGATAGAATTTACTCACCTTGTTAGTGGCAGGACTGAAGCGTATGGTAAAGTTAAAAGGTGCTCCCTCCAATTGAATTGCGCAGGTATGGCCCATTAAATAGAGAAATGGTGATCAGAAACTACATCAGTATGCTTGTGGAAAGTAGCATTGTTTTGGAGCGCCAAATAGATTGATTTTAAGGGTCTCAAAGATTTTTCTCCTGTCATAACAGAGGCACTCAAGTTCAGTTTGTCCCAGTTGGTTGATGCTACAAACAACTTCTCTGACAGGAATCTAATTGGCAAAGGTAGCTTTGGCTGTGTTTACAAGGTAGGTGTCCCCAATCCCCCCCACTAACACATGCCAAAACAGGGTAAACGAAATGACTCCCTAGAATGCATTTAACAAACTCTCATTGAATTTTGACCAAGGTAATAGTTACAATATATAATTTGGATACATGTAAATAGCATGACTAAATTTTTCAGAAGAATTTCTTTCATCTGCTTCATTGATGAAAATATGACAAAGAAAGTCAGTCACCAAAGTGGCATCAGATTTCAACTAAATACATACAAGCATATATGAACCTAAGACTTTGAAAAGTAAAAAAAGTGTCATATTAAATTATGGATATAATTTTGCCCCCCCTATACTTTGATATGGTCATCACGTACGGATATAAGTTTGACCTTCTAGACTTTGATACGGTTATCCCGCTGCAGCACTGCTATTGAGGTGCCTTCTATAATCTTCTATTCTATTTCAACTGTGCTAATTTGCAATAAAGTGGAAAAGGTCATAACTATCAAATAGCATTGCAATTTTACATTAGATTAAAAACTCCACTATCATGTAATCGACCTCTTTATTAGGTGCCACAATAAAACTCTTCATCACTATAGAAAGGTGTGGTGGGGTGCATTGTAGGTCTGTGGGTGCATTATTGTACTCTTTGGTACCTGTTAGATATGTATGTGCTGTGTGCGTGTGTATGGGCCTCCTGTGGCTGTGCACCAGGCCCAGGCCGGCTCCCTGCCGTGCCTAGATAGATTAGGATAGGCAGGTTATCCCTTGATTGGTTATGTTTCTATAAACCTCTCCCAAGGGCTGCCTATATATTTGTACACCTTGTATACCCTAATCAATCTACTATTCCACGCAATCTCTACTGCTTTCAGTACCCTCTCTTCATAATCAAATGATACGCAGCTCTCATGTGCGTTTGAGAGAAAAAACACTAGAACTCTTCATTGAGTAACCCAACCAGTTTGTGCAAAAATATTGATCATCATTTGAATATTATGTTTGCATTCAGGGTCAACTGCATGATGGACTTGAGGTTGCTGTCAAAAGATGTTTTGAGTTACCTTCTTCACCTAATCAACTGGATGTCCAAGATTATGAATTTCAAAATGAGATTTGCTTTCTTCCAAGGCTTCAGCATACCAATATAATTAAGCTTTTGGGAGACACTATGCAGGAAAGGGAGAGGATTTTGGTCTATGAATATATGTCAAATGGAAGCCTCGACTCCTTCATCTTTGGCATGTGTTCACTATTTTTTAGGTCATCTCAATTTTATACAAAATATAATGTGCTGTAGTGAGCTCATTAGAGTAAGCATTCTGTGCTTAGGTGCAAGGACAAGAAGGTTGCATCTGGACTGGCCTACACGCTTTCAGATAATTAAAGGAATAGCTGAAGGGATGCTTTATCTTCATAAGCTTTGTGGACTACATATTATACATGGAGATTTAAAGCCAAGTAACATTCTCTTGGATACCAACATGAAGCCCAAGATTTCTGATTTTGGCTTATCTAGAACATATAATCCGGGAGTAGATGAAGAGTTTGCTGACCGCATAGTGGGCTCAATGTAAGATGTTATCAGATTGGTATCACGATTGTGATGGGTCGGCACAAGAGGCTCTTTCCTTCTTATTTTTCGAGAACTTACATTTTTATTTCCCTGTTGTAGTGGTTTTACTGCCCCTGAATGTCGGGAAAGACGTGTTTTCTCCATCAAGTCTGATGTATATGGCTTCGGAGCATTGCTTCTCGAGATAATAAGTAGACAACGGTGCTTTTCACTTGCAAGTGGAGAATCTGGCGATGATCATGGATTTCTGAATAAGAGGGTGCATAGAACTTTCATACTATCTCCATCTTTTTCAATAATAAACATCCAGCATGGACCTTTTAGTTAAATGCACCACTAACTGCCATTAAAATGGCAATCTATGATGTCATTTTTATTTTACTTTTGTTCCCTCACCTCAGGCGTGGCAGTTATGGAGAGCAGGCAGTTTGATCAAGTTTGTTGATTCACCCCCAGGCAACGAATCTGAGAGGATGGAGATACTAAGGTGCATCCAGCTAGCACTGCTGTGCGTGGAAGAGAACCCTGCAAACCGGCCCACCATGCAGGAGGTTGTTCTGATGTTAAGCAGCCACATTTTTGCGCTAGCCACACCTCAGCATCCAGCTTACCTCCGGGGCTGCTGAAATGGTGCGCACACACTCATAGCGTATCTGGTTTTGGCAACTTGGCGGAGCTTGTTGAATGACATCCAGGCATCCTGAAGATGCAAAGCATTAGCATATTTTTGCTGAGCAGGCAACCATGGATGACACTGTACAAAAACCATAACCTTCAGCGCAATGCTCGTACTGTAGGCTGTAGCATGCATGCCAACACCCTGAAATAGAACATTTTGGTCAGGGTCTCTTCAGGATCTGTTCATTATCGGCAATGGCGGGTGTGTTTGTACTGTTACCAGACCAGATTTGCAGTATCAGTCAATATTGATGTTTTCACTTGTCTAATTTCCTGCAAGAGCCTTGGTGGCGCTCATGGTTGCTGACCTTGCATGAAGCTCATTTTCCGTCAATCAGGTTCTCTGGTCTGGGAAGCAAGATTCTTGTTTCTTTGTATGTGCATGAATTGGATCAGTTTTTTTGAGAGTTTTAGGGCAGTGCCCTGTCTTTCAACTAAAGTCAAAAGACAGATATCATCCATTACAGCACTGCAGGTGGTATACCACCGGAGAAAAGGCATGAATTGGATCAGTTTGGAGGTCATATCTCTTCTACTTCATTTAAGTGGCAGACTCCAGATCCAGCATAAAAGAGATTTCATAGGAGCCCCTTGAGAGTTGATTAGAGATCCATATTTCTTATGTTTTTTTTATTGAAAGGGAAGCAATAGATCGTTCATAGCCGCCGGCTGGCCGGAGCTCGCCGTCCATAACCGCCGGCCAGCCGGCTGCAACTGCAAGCAGTTCCCTCGGTGTCGTCGCAATGAAGCAATCCAGGACCAGGACGGGCAAGCTCGTCAAGCACGGCGACCACAGAAATGTAATGCCACGCAGCCTTGGTTCAGAAATGGAATTTCACTCACGGAATCGGGTTGACCTCCGTGCAACGATAAGAGGCTCAATGACGGTGTCTCTCAAGTGTCAAACATTCACAATGCATTAACTGCAGGTGAGAAATTCGGGCAGTAGAGATTGTTATACGCCTTGTTTAGTTGGACCCCAAAGTTCAAAAAGTTGCTACAATACCTGTCACATCGAATGTTTGTGGTCCGTGCATGGAGCATTAAATGTAGACGAAAATAAAAACTAATTACACAGTTTGGTGGAAAATTGCGAGACGAACGTTTTGAGCCTAATTAGTCCATGTTTGAACACTATTTGCCAAATAAAAACGAACGTGTTATAGTAGTCCCAAAATCCAAATTCACCCAACTAAACAGGGCGTAATAACTTTCGCATTCAGTATCACACACCCATCCCAATTCCCATGTCCTTTCTTCTTCCCTACTACCACCGGGCGCCGGCTGGCCTGCCTGGTCGACCGCTCCTGCTCATCCCTGTACCTGCCTGCCTTCCCAGAAAAAAGTAAACGCTGGGGGTGGCCTTGTAGCAGCTGCCAGAGCGCGCGGTGGAAGCGGTCTGGCGCCGTCACCCGGCCGCTGTCAATGGCGGAGCTATCGTCCTCCGTCATATGCCGGCACAGGCAGCTCTCGCTGCAGAACGCCCTGTCGCCTCTGTTACATGCATAACCGTACGCCATCGTCAGAAGCCAGAGAATACACGACATCATAACTGACACATGCATGCATGAGTGCCTTAGCTTGTATGTGGCGAATTGAACTGACCTGTACATGTAGATGTCCATGCCCTCGGTGAGCTCCCTCTGGCAGAGGAAGCAACGCTGCAGGAACGACCAGCTCGGGATACTCGGAACCAACATGGGAGCAAGATGCAGCTTATGACGCATGTACGCTCGTCTTATCACTGGAGACGGTGTTCTGCTTGCTGGTGCTTCTGTGGGTCGCAGCAGCTGTTGCTTCTGCTGCGCGTTCGTCGTCCTTGCCTCGAGGACGCCTAAGCCGACCATGGCTGCCGTGTGTTGTGCAGCTACAACAATTGTTGTTGTGATTATTAGCACTCAGGTATGCAATCTCCAGGAACTGGGAGTGGAAGGGGAAAAGAACACTATAGGTAGAACTGGCCCTCCCCCAACCCTAGCCCCTGGCGGGCTCCTCCCCGCCGCCGGCGCCGGCTGCCTCACCGGCACCGGCGCCCGCCTCCCTCCCCTTACCTCCCTCCCTCCCCTCCCACTTCCCCCCGCGAGCCACCTCCATCGCGACTGGCCCACGCCGCGGGATCTCGGCCCCACCGCGCGCCCTCCCCGTCGCCGGCTCCACCGCGCCCGACTCCGGCGCAGGCTACCGCTCCGGCAGCGACGGCCGCCTATGCCTCCCCTAATCCCCCTCGCAATCTCCTCCGCGGCGCGGCCATGGTGCCGGGTCCTGCGGTGGTGGGGAGACGGCGCCGCACCCTGAGCCGGGGCCGACGGGAGAGATGGCCTCGCCGACCGCCGGGGCCGGGCCTGGGGCTCGCCTGCCGGCGATGGTGACGGCCGACGCAGAGGAAGACAACCACAACACGCCTCCGCCCGATCTGAGGTCCAAGGTGGTTGCCGGATCCAGCGCGGACGGCCACCGTGCGGGCGATTCGGCGACCGCCGGTGACTGTGCGCACCCGAAACCGCCGCCGCCGACCACGGACATGGCCGGACCCCGGGCAGGCGGATCCGCTGCCGCCGGCGACGGGGAGGCCACCGCGAGGCAGCAGCCGCCGCTGCCACGGCCCGAGAACTCGCCGGCGGTCCAGACACCCAGCTCGCCGCGGCGGTCTACTCCGGCATCGGGGATCGACATCTTCCTCGTCCACCCCTCCGCGCCCGCCTCCAGTTGCTCCGGCTCGCTGTCAGTCGCGGGGAGCCAGTGAGCAACGGCCCCGCCCAAAGTTCGCCGTCCAAGCTCTCCCCTTTCGCCCAGCCCTTCAGCCCGCGAGAGCGTCAGGGGGACGCTCCAAGGCTCGTCGTTGGGCTGAGGATGACCTCCTTGAGGCCTTTGATGCGGAGCGGGCATCGACCGCCTCCCCAACCACGTACCTCGACGCGGCTTGGCGGGGACAGCAACGGCCGACAAGTAGCTGTGCTGACGGTAGTTAGCTTTTCTCTCGTGGACATGCCCCGCCGATCCAGATCCAGATTCCGCATCTGGCGGCGCCGAGGACATGTCCCGCCGCGAGATCGAGCGCCGCCCGCGACCTATGCTCCCGGAGCTGGCCTGCCGTGGGGAAGCAATTCGTCGAACAGCTGCAGCGCGAGAGGTTGCTAGGCCTGTGCCTCAGACCACGCGCAAGCGAGCTGTTTGGCGAATTGCTCCACCCATGCCAGGCCCTGCCTCGGTTATACCGCCTTCAACCAGCTAGCTAGCTGTGTTAACAAACTAATTTGCTGACCATCTTCTTGTGACATGTAATTTTGTTTGACTGATTTTATCCGTCTCCTGCTCTATCTGATTTACTGGCCATGGTGTTCAGTCTGCTTTGTTTGAAGAAACTCTCTGGACACATGCTGTCCTGCTAGTGTGCACTTGAGCGTCAAGTTCATTGCCAGGAAAAAAAATAGATGTGTTCAGTGTCCTAGTTCACTAATTTCGGTCATTTTGTGTATGTATATATGTATGCGGCACATACTGGCTGGATTTGCTCACTTGTAAAACACATGAACTCCTATTGGGTCTGTTCGCTGGTTGGTGCTGGTGCTGGTGCTGGTGCTGGTTTGGGCTGGCTGGTGCTGGTCTGCACTAGCACATGCCTGTTACTGTTCCGTGTTCTTCTAGTCGTGTGTTTTTTTTCAATTTATTCATTGTGGTAATAAGATGTCACTGTGGAAGTTTGATGCTTTTAGGAAAGTATTATGAGTATTGTGAGGCTGTTAGGAATCTACAGATACAGATATCCGTGTTTATTAAAATAACAATATTATCATGTTCTGGTTTTCTCGCTTCCATGATCCAACAGGATGAATGTGTTTGTTGTAAAAAAAAAGGATGAATGTGTAAAATTTTGTATGTTAAATAGTTTGAAGGCAAGGCCACTAGAATGCAGTTAGTTACTCCAGTTCTAAACCGAACGTGGTTAAACAAACATATTTCCATTGTGAAAAATTTCTCTGCTGGTTTATTCAGTCTATATGAACTTGTCTGTTCTTTTTAATGTAATGAGTATGATGACGCCGTAGTTCAACAGAAAATGTGTTTTCTTAATGTATGACGCGCAGTGGTTGAACGCCCAGCACCTACACCTCTCCTCTCACCAGGCCTCCGCTGTCACTGCTCCTGCCTCCTGGGATTTTTTTTTTAACATTTTTTTAAACTATTTTTAAATCTAACACTAATTTTTTTTAAAAAACTAACATTTTTTGCTGCGCCTAGTTGCATGGCGTGGCAAATCTGGTCAGCGGAGCGCTGAACAGCTGACGTGGCAGGCTCTGCCGCGCCACCCCACATGGCACGCCGAGTGCGGATCCAAATCAGCGCGCGGGCCTCCCTTTCTTCCTCCTCTAGATCCGGTCGCCGTCGTCGGTCTCCGCCACCGACGTCGCCGCCCCAAGCTCCCCTCCACCAATGCCGCCGCCCCTGGGGGTCAATCCCCGCCACCGCCACCACCGGCAAGGCCGCCGCGACGGCCCTCTCCTCGTCAGGGGTGACCCCCAAGCCCCCCTTCTTGGGCAAGGTATTGCTGTCGATCTTTGGGATTTTGGTTGATTTTTTTTTTGATGCAGTGAGTGGTAGTTAGGTCTTGGTTGATTACAATAGTTATTAAAATTAGTATTGTTAGTTTGTAGTAGTAGTAGTTGTAGTGGTCGTTAGTAGTAGTAGTAGTAGTAGTTAGTAGTGGTGGTAGTAGTAGCAGCAGCAGCTAGTAGTGGTAGTAAGGTTTGTAGTAGTATTGGTAGTTAGCATAGTTAGTAGGTTGTTATTAGTATAGGTTTAGAGTTTACTTTATTTTTTAGTTTTATGCACTACCCCGATTTCGAAGACTTGACGAAGTTTCCTCAAATGGTTTTGTAGATGGATTTGTTTAGTCCGTTTGTTTTATGAAGTGTTACGAAACAAGATGGTTTGTTTGAGTATATGGAAGAAGAATTAGAAATGTTTGATGATCCTCCTAGCTTCAGTGACCTTGTTTTGCGTGTGAAGGAGAAGTTTGAGGGGGATTTCACATTGAAGGAGAGGTTTGATAGTGGGGAAAAGGGCACACTACGTCATAATGCCCTTGCGCGACCAGGCTCACTGGTCCCGCTACTCAAGGGTAATCCAAGTTTCAAATGTGACCGTGGCTGAGGTGATGATGGAGAACGGTTACAGGATTGAGGATGTGGAGGATGGGCCGTCCTTTGACGGAGTTGGAGGCGATGGACATGAAGGGGGGGGGGTCGATGTGGACACAACACTGGGAGATATGGAGCTGGACGGTCAGCTGACGTAGGAGTAGCTTTATTAGTCTCAAATGGCAGTCGATGAATCCAGGCGGATGTCAGTAGGCCTTATAAACAATGACTTCGATGTGGATGAGTTCGAGCGGGACGAGGAGGAGCAAGCGAAGGAGGAAAGGATTGGTGATGTAGTTAGAAGTGATTCAGAGGATTCGGACGATGAGCAAGGAGGTAGAGATGCTGTGCCAGTGCCGGTTCAGGTGAGAGTAGTCAGAGATGTGCCAGGACCAAGTCAAGAACAGCATGCTATGCCGGTCCAGGGAAGAGTAGTCAGAGATGTGCCAGAGGATGTTACCCTGTACGATTCATGGGTTAGGTTGAGCGAAGCACATCAGTATGTTCCATCAGAGCCTTACACAGCGATGGAGCTGATGCAACTGAGGTCGGTGAACGTACCTTTTCGTGGCGTTCTGAACTATAGGGACATCAGCCTGACGGATATGACAGTTTATGACACCGGCCTACAGATGTGTAGGAAATCATTGTACAACCATGGGAATGTAATCCTTAGCAAGGGGATGGTATTCAATTTAACGTCTGAGCTAAAACTGTTTCTTTAGGACTATGCGGTGTATTACCATCGGCCGTACACCATCACTCATTCTGACAAGGAGCTGAGGTACCACGTGATATGCAAGGCAGCCTGACGGATCAGCTTACAGTACCACTAAATCTAAATGCAATGACAATATTATTACTTCTTTACATTACTGAAATTGCAGTTCGACAATAGAAAGATAAAGTCATTGTATGAGAACTAATCTCGGAATCATTGAAAACACACCTTAACTGCAACTAGGCTTGGCAATGGCCTGATGGCAGATAAAGACAGGGTTCATTGTCAAAGAAATCCTAAAGCGTAGCATAGCTGCAGTTGTAGTTGCACCAACAATGTCAATAGCCGATGACTTGTTTGGAAAGGATTGAATTAAACACCTGATGTTGCTACCAGCATCTGTGGAGTGCATTTGCACTGCCATAATGGAACCCATGTTCCACTTCAGATGCAGAGATCTCGAACATACTGCATCTTCTGCGGCATTCCTTTGCTATTCCACTGAGCTCTGAACTCCTTGTGCAAATCCAGCAACCGTAATTTCTTCAGAGAACAAAGGAATTCGATTCCTTGAGGGATCTTATCGAGCTTCACAAGTGATTCAATATATAAACCTTCAATCTGTCGGAGGGCACCGACTCTGATCTCCACCTCGTCAACACAGGGCATCCTCTTCAAGACAAGCATCTTCAGCTGTGGGAAGCAATCTGGAGAGAGAACCAAGGTGCTTGCACTACTCACCCTGTAAAGGCTAAGATAGGTGAGGTTTGGAACACATGGTGCAAGAAGCTGCAGCGGATCTTCCTGAAAATGGCACCAGCTTATATCTAGGTACTTGAGATATTTTCCATGTTCCTGAAATATTGAGCACTCCAATGTCTTGTCTGCCCAGCACCCTCTGATTATCAACTTTTGGAGGTCTTCAGACTGTGGTTTGAGAGCTTCCAAGCAAAGTGTTTCCTTCTCATCACTTGCAGAGAGAAGCAAGCTAGAAAGAACAGGCATTTTTGAAAGTGCAGTGAAAAGATTTGCACAATCAATGGAAAATATGTTGTCAATCCACACACTCCGTAGTTTTTTAAGTTTTTTTAGCTGCTCAGTCAAATCCTTGCCAGCCTCCACAGTCTCAAGGGTCTGCAGTTCTTCCAATTTGGATAACCCTTTTGGTGCTTGCACTCCAATGAAGTACCGGAATTCTGACTGCTTCTCATCTGCATATCTGTCAGCTAGAAGGTGCCGCAGCTTGTTGACTTTAGCAATCCCTCGCGGTAACTTTTCTATTTTTGTTCGCTTTATGTCTAGGATCTCGAGGTTGGTGAGCTTACTAATAGATTCTGGGAGTGATTTGACCCTTGTGCGCCGCAGGCCAATGTAGCGTAGATTGAATAGATTTCCTATGGATGCTGGAACTTCGACTATCTCAGAATCTTGCAGGTCAAGAACTGTCAGGTACATGGATTCAGACAAAATCGAAGGTAACAGTTGAGGGGAGGACTCAGTTATTCCATGTGCAACCAAGGTTCGAAGGAATGGGAATTGGATTTTATCTTTGAATGATGAAGTTTTGTCCTTCCATCCACAAGATGACAGTCAACGGACACTCTTGTCTATCTTCACCATGGTGCCATAATCACTTGCGAAACCAAACTTCTCCTCTTTAGCAACCGAAAGTGCCAGGTCACGGACAAGGTCATGCATCTTACAGGTACTGACCATACCTAGCCCATCATTCTCAACGGCTTCCAACATATTCCTTTGGATCAGTTCCCTTAGATATTTGTCTGCCACCTCCTCTGTTGTACTTTGATCTTTTTGAACTGCAAAGCCTTCTGCAACCCAAATCCGAACAAGGCTATCTCGTGACATCAGATGGTCCTCAGGGAACAAGCTCAAATAAATTAAGCACTTTTCAAGATGAGCAGGTAAATCATAGTAACTCAGATTTAGAACTGCACGAACTTGATGATTGTTCTTCAGCTCATCCTGAAATTGCGTGTATGTGTCATTCCAAACATCTTTGACTGGTGGCCGTGCAGACAACATCCCACCAATACATGCAATGGCAAGTGGCAGTCCTTGACACTTTTCCAATATACTTTTGGCCACCTTCTCTAGCTCATTGGGGCACTTGGAATCCATGCAGTTATAGAAAGCCTTCCTGCAGAATAGAGAAGATGCATCACTGTATCCCAATGGCTTGAGTTTGAGTTGACGTGTGGGGTGAGCAAGGGCTGCCACTTGTTCTTGTCGTGTAGTGATAATAACACAACTTGCTTTGAGGTTCTGGAATGCATCCCTTATCTGAGTGTATGCTTCTTGAGTCCAAACATCATCCAATACAATCAAACACTTTCTACCTGTCAGTCTTTCCTTTATTTTTCGTTTCAAGTCATAGGCATCCAACTCTGCTAGTTGTGGCTGCTGCTTGTCCTCAATCTTTCTAAGCAATTTCCTCAGCAATTCAACCACATCATAAGTCTGAGACACAACGATCCAAGCATGAGCAGTGAAGTTGTTCTTCTCCTGCTCGTACAGGTTTTTGACCAGGGTGGTTTTTCCAAGTCCACCCATACCAGATACTGTAATCAATTTGGTACTTTGCTCTTCCGAATTCAACCATTCTGTCAGCAGTCTCCTATTTTCTTCAATCCCTACAAGATCATCTTGAACAACATCGAGGATGCAGTCCTGGGACCGCTTTCTTTCAATATCAGCAAATAGATTGGGACTGAGCTGGGACTGCTGTAGCCACCGATCTTTCCGCTTCACAACATTTTCAAGTTTCTTCTCAAACTTGGTAATCTCCTCTGCGATTTCACTGAATACTGTGATGTTCTGAGCTTTGGTGAAGATCTTTTTCACTCTGTTTTCTTCCTCCAGTTTAATAGCGTAGTATGAATAAATGTCAATCACATCCTCAACCTGGTAGCCTAGGTCCCGCACCTCTGATATCAAACCCTTCACAAGCTCATTGGTGAGGCTTCTAGTGCCTATCTGTTTTATTACTTTATCTATCATGTTTAGTTCTTTGCCTATTTCCTCAATCTTCCTTGGTAGTTCCTTAAGGTTCACAACTTTCTCTGATAGCTTGCTTATATCGGCCTTTGTGGCTTCCTCTGTTAAAATGCTTCCAATCTTTGAAGCAGCAAGGAGTACAGCTTCTGTCATTTGTGCTGAACATCATAAATGCAGATCATGTTACATAATGAAGTAAATAAATTAATGAAAACTAGCAAAAATCCAATGCAGGTGCATGATAACAATGGCTGTTTTTTTTAGAAATGATAGAAAGTAGAAAGAAAAACAAGATGGGTAGAGTTGAATTTCTAAAAAAGAATTGAACTTTATCATTTGAGTCAATCTCCATGTAACGGTGATGATGAGACTGAATGTATACTGCGAATTTAGTTTCTAAAATTTGTCAGCAATTTAAAGATGAAAATTTCATTAATTAAATAAAATATTCTGGATCGTTACTTTTATAGTCAGTTTTATTCAAATCTGTGTTACCTTACATATTTCAAAAAACAGTACTTAAAATAAAATGTGACACCCATGTCCATTATTATGGAACTAATATTTACATTATATTGAAGTAAAATATTTCAGTTAGCAATAATCTGGACAGAAACGTAACTGAATGAAATTCTAGGCGTGAGCAACAGCGTACGAGTGTATGAGATATCACATATTCCTTCAAAAGCGTCCAGTGCACTTTTTTATTATTCATGAATGAATTCCTTCATATCATTTATTGCACCATTTAATGAAATTGAAGGTATACAGTACTCATGATCCTAAAGGTTTGAAAATTTCCTTTTGCTAAATTGTTTCAGTGGTTTGGCATAGTGCTCTTTTGTTTATAAATTCCAGCTACAGAACTTCATTCTTCTCATCTTTGTTAGGTAGATACACTGATGATATGGATACGTGATACGGTGATACCACGTCATACCACTCTTCCAAAAGCATTGCCATGTATGTGTCTATATATATATATATATATATGAGAGTAACTACACCCTGAGAGTAGGAAATAATTACTCTTATTATCATTATATATAAAAAGGAAATTATTTCTTGCTCCCGAGGTATAGTTACTCCCATGTTTATGTTTATGTCTTCATATTTATAGTGTATATGGCCTGATGAAGTGTACGTGGATGGAGTACATAATTATACTAGACCATCTAGGTTAGTATGTATGTTAAGTATGCAATATGAACTATATGGTTATACTTATTTTATATACTACTATAATGGTATTATAATAATATACTAAAATATATGGGTTCTTTTCAAAACATTTCATACAGTAAGATTTGGAGTATCTTAAAATAACTATATAAGCATACTCAAACTGATAAATGAGTATGCACCCATCAATAATGTGGTTTATTAAAGATGGAAGTAACTGTACCTGAGATAATCATTTCTTAAATGCATGGTTATAGCCTTATAGCACTACTTGATTGGCTCACTATTGGTTTAACAATTCTCTTCATATTGCAGTGGATGGGTTTATTAGTATAGTAAGGGGTTAGAGTTTGAAGTTTGTCATGAAAGAATTATGGATGCACTACCAAAATGGTGGAGTTCTCCTAGAGCACTAAGTAGTAATAAGAACACTATCATCAATCCTAACATATAGGAAAGGCTCATACTAAGGGCCTGTTTGTAGAGATTCACCAACTCTAGATTCACTAAAGTCAAATTCAGTTCTATTTTTTTTTTTTTTTGCCAAACACTTCTAGCTCTACTAGCTCCATCATGGATCTGATACACCAAAAAGGTGGATCTAGCCTAGATTCACTAAATTGGTGGAGAACCTCAAGGAGTGCTCTACCAAATTTAAGTTAGGTGGAGTTGAAAAAAATTACCCATCATGCCACTCGTCACACAGGAAATAATGATTCATTTCGTTCTATTTGCTTCTTCCACTCCCGTCGCGAGCATGGACTTGGCAGCGCCCCGCCAGCTAGCGCCGCCTGCAGAGTGCAGGGGCCGAGCCTCGCCCGCCAGAGCCTCTGGCCGAGCCCTTCCCGCGGAGCCCCTACACCGGCTACGCCCAGTCCGCCGGAGCCGCTGCACCGCTCGGCCACGACCCTCCCATCAGAGCCCCGTGCCCCAACATGCGTCGCGAGCTCCAATCGTGGCCCACCTCCGGCCATGCCCGGCACTACAGCACTGCCCGCCCCGCACGCCCCCACCGCGGCCCTGGCCTTCTCGTGCCGCCACCGAGCGCCCCCCTAGTGGAGCTCCTTGAGGTGCTCTACGGCTGGCCTCCCGCACCAGCACCGAGGGCTCCCGCATGGTCCCGGCTGTCGCGCCGCTCCCCTGGCTGCGCTCGCAATTGGAGACCGTCGTGCCACTCCCGGCCTGACCACCGGAGAGAAGCAAGTCGAGCAGGGAAGAGGATGAAGTGCTGACGCGCGGGCTCTAGGTGGTAGTAAGATATACAGAGGAGAGGCTGGAGATGTACAAAACACTTTCTGGGATCCTATATCCACGGTGGAGTGGAATCCCATTTCCAGATTTAATTAGGGTGGTGGAGCTCTGTCAAATAAGCCATAAATATTGAATGCTAAATACTAGAAGAACCCCACGTCAGTAGAAGTAGCTGTAGATTCTGGTTGTGATGTATTATCAAAGTATCATAACTATTTTATTTATTAGAATATCATTAAAATGTCCGATGGACATATGAGATTGATAGGTATTGAAAGAGTATTATTGGTGTCCGACAAATATTGGAGAAGTACCTGTGTCGAATACAGGTTCATAGAAGTACTAGTATCCAATACGTGAGGATTCATAGGTGCCTGAGTAACTTTGCCGCTAATTGGTATATCCTGACTATATTGAGTTTCTCTCTCTTTATTTCTGAGAAAATTACCAAGGGCTCAAGTCCAACACTTTATTGACCAATTTGCTAATTGCCTACCTGGTTGGAAGGCCAATCTTTTTACTAAGGTTCTATTTGGAACCACCAGCTAAACTTTAGCCGGCTAAATTTAGTTGCGGTGGATCCAAACAGTCCGCTAAAGGCCTCCTAGCTAATGGAAACCCCACTATCTCATTAGCTGTTACAACCCAGCTAAAAGTGGTCAGTTACCAAAATGCCCTTGTCTTTTTTCTGCATCCGCATGCTCGTCTTTTTCTTCTTCTCCGCACGCGACCCCGACCTCGGCCTTCTCTGCACCCGCCTGCCATGGCCGCTCTAGCCCTAGCCGTGAGCTCTGGCCTACATGTCGCGCCCGCGAGCTCCGCCTCACCACGCGTCTCCTCTGTCGAAGCGCAGGAACTGCCCCACCGTGTCGTGATCTTCGGCTGCGCGGGAGCCGCCCCACACGCGCCCAGGTTGGCTGCATGCACCCATCCCGGCCACGCGGGATCCTCCTCCATGTCGCGCCACACGAGATCCACCCTACTGTCATGGCTATGTCGGTCGAACTCCACGTCGATTGGGGAGGATATCGGGTCCCACTCGAATTACCCATCAACCCCGCCGAGGCGCACTGCTCCGACCACGTGGTTACGGTGGACAAGCCCCTCCCTGCGTGGGGCGAAAACTAAACTCTGCCCGTAACAAGGCGGCACGACCCTCCAGGGACAAAAAAGGGCAGCGGAAGGAAGCCAGAGCCCGGTCCGAGCGGTCCCAATAACCGGGACCGGGCTACGGCCAGCTCCTTCTCAGGACCCGAAAACAACGACCTAAGGCCGAACCCTGGGCTGGCGATTTTTTCGAGGGAGATCGTCGCCACGAGCGGCTAAAAAGTCGCGCAACAGTACCTTCCTCGTGAAGTGATGCTCCAGCTCGCAGACAACTGGGAGGAGAGGTCCAAGGTCGCTAGACGACCTCGTCGCCCTGCGCGACGAGAGGCCAATGACTCGCCTAAAGCCTGCAACCTCCAGCTCGCAGACACCTAGGAGGAGAGGTCCAAGGTCGCTCGACGACCTTGTCGCCCTGCGCGGCGAGAGGCCAATGACTCGCTTGGAGCTTGCAACCTCCAGCTCGTAGACACTCGGGAGGAGAGGTCCAAGGTTGCTTGATGACTTTGTCGCCCTGCGCGGCGAGAGGCCAATGACTCGCCTGAAGCCTGCAACCTCCAGCTTGCAAACACTTAGGACGAGAGGTCCAAGGTCGCTCGACAACCTCGTCGCCCTGCGCCGCGAGAGGCCAATGACTCCCCTGAAGCCTGCAACGTCTAGCTCGCAGACACTCGGGAGGAGAGGTCCAATGTCGCATGACGACCTCGTTGCCCTGCATAGCGAGAGGCCAATGACTCACCTGAAGCCTGCAACCTCTAGCTCGCAGACACTCGAGAGGAGAGGTCTAAGGTCGCTCGATGACCTCGTCGCCCTACGCGGCGAGAGACCAATGACTCACTCAAAGCCTGCACCCTCTGGCTCGTAGACACTCGGGAGGAGAGGTCCAAGGTTGCTCGATGACCTCGTTGCTCTGCGCGGTGAGAGGCTAATGACTCACCCGAAGCCTACACCCTCCGGCTCGCAGACACTCGGGAGGAGAGGTCCAAGGTCGCTCGACGGCCTCGTCACCCCGCGCGGCGAGAGGCCAATGACTCATCCAAAGCCTGCATCTTCCGACTCGTAAACGACCGAAAGGAGAGGCCTAAGGATGCAATCGCGCAAAAGAAAAATTAGATGCCTGATCAATTGCAACCTAGGAGCTCGGGCAGAAAAGCCCAAAGTCGCCTAGCAACCTCGCATAACAAAAGAACGACGACCCACTCTGGAAACCTTTATTCAACGAGCCTGAATGTGGCCAAAACGGCTTGGGGCTTACCACTGCTTCAAGCCCCAACAACTCCGGAAGGAGGATTCCTTGAGATTTTATTCATACCTTATATGATTACAAAGCGATGTGCGGGCGATCCGCACACAAGGAATGAAAAAACTAATGCCACCACACCCTAGTGGTGGTATTACTGAAAGGCCCTTGGGGAACGACACTACGGGGGAAGCGAGACGAAGCAAAAAATGAACTCGCTAACCCTCTTGTAATATCGCAGCCCCGGGGAACGAAGCACAAGGAGGAAGAGAGCGACAGAACTGCCTAGCTCCAACAAGCATCTTGGCAACCATCCCGGTGCCAAGATGGACCAAAAGGGAGGCCAAAGTCCAGCCATGTCACAAAGGCTGCACTG